AAAAGCAAGAAGCAGACTGCGATAGTTCCTCCCATTGTTGAGGCTAAATATCGTGATTGACTGCTACTAATATTTATAGGGAGTTTGATTGAGATGGTTGCTTGTCAACCAAGGAGTTTCTGTTTCTACTACTTCTATATATTTTAAGATAAGTTCACCATTTACATTGTACACAACTGTTTTTTTAATAAGCAGACCAAGCATATTGAAATTGACTGTTATTGTTTGCGCTGCCATCTTTAATTTGGGACTATTTTCTGGTCTTTGTTTCTTATGCTATGCACTGGGCTGACTTCTTGATGAAGTGTTACACCATATTGAGTTTTCATTTTCTTTCTTATAAACTCTTGATGGTTCCTATTGTAACATCATGAGTTTGAGGCGGTGTAATGATTGTATTATTCTTTTGTATTTATTTACATTAGCGCAATGCTTCAAGGTCGAGACTCGGTCATCGACTCGAAGGGTACTAATGTACATCGGGTTGTGGCATTGAGGTATGGTATCGACCAATACACAAAAAATGAAAAATAGAAGGCCCAAAAAATTCCCAAAAAATTATGAAAAATTCCATGCAAAGTAAACAACAAGATCCATTCAGTAGATATATGGTATAGATATAGAATAAAGTCATTAAGTGATTGCTAATACATACAATATGATATTAATTATATCACCAACAATTATAGGGACAAACTAGCGGGTTTGCACTGTGAGTGAAAAGCCCTAGACTAAAATAGGCTTGAGAGAGAGGGGTTGGGCACTAAATCTTTATTCAAAAGTTAGTAAAAGATCTTTTGTAATATTGATAATGATTTCTAGAAAGGTTTTTGCTTTGAATTTTGTTGGACTGCTGCATTATGTCCCGAAAAAGGTCTTCAAGAAGCTATGATTCAAAGAATCGGCAGCTACCAATACGATACAGTTATCTGTTACGTATAAACAACTCAGCCGAGTCTCACACGAGTCAGTCGAGTTCTTTCTGAGTCAATCTCGAACTCGAATCGCTGAATTATCGTCATTGAATCAGCCGATATGGTTATGCGACGCAGCAATATGACTAGAATTTCTTGTCATATTCACCTTCAATACACGTTTTGACAACTTTGCTCCTTTGTTGAATTGATGCTTCTGTTCCTGCTTTCTGTTGGGGTCCTGCCTTTAACTAGTTAACAAAAGCTTGGGTATTTTGTCACTCATTGAATTACAGGAAAATAAAACACGTGGGAGAATGGGAATTAAGTTGGCTAAGCTGCTTCAGATTAGGGAGTTGTCTGGTAATGTAATCGTTTCCAGCAGAGGGAAGCTTAACTTTCAGGAGCAATACCGGAAGATACAAACATCACAGCCTCTGGTATGTTTATTTCTGAAAGATATTTAATCAGGTATATTGTTTTGCCAGTTGTGATATCAATAAGCCTGTCAGTTTCCTTTCATCCAATTCATGTTATTGCCCCTGGTGTAAAAGCAATATGTATTTTTAGTTTTGGGTATTGAAGTTGTTTCTAAATAGCTTACAGAATATCTTAAAATTTAAAAATATGGGGATCATCCGAACATTAAAAGGACATAGTCATGCTTTTGTGTCCCTATTTATCCATGCAGATTGAATGGATGAGAGATGCTGATTATGCTCAACCTATATTGCTACCGTTTGGGTCTATGATTGAATCTCTGTGCAAATTTCACTGAAAGTATAAGCGGATCACCTATATGGAGTCGTATAAAATTTATTCGAAAATATCCAATTTTGGGAACCAAGTCAAGGATTTTACTACAACTATATGGAGTAGTATGATTTTCTTTGGTCCTGCTATTGTAACTTGTGCATTTGTGCTAGAAAGCTTGCCTGTTGAAAATGGGTTCTTGGGACTTTGTGTTTATGTTAGTTATTGGTTATAAATCAAGTGCCAGTTGAAACATTTTTGTTTCACTTGTCCTTGTGCATTCATGAGTAAAGTGTAAATTTGAAAACTCTTGGACTTACAATAATCATATCTGCATAAGAATCAAAAGAAAGGTCCTGGCGTTAATAGAAGGTGATGACTTTGATGCCTCTTAGTAGATATCAACTCAAGAAAGCCTTTTCTCCATAACTTGGGGTTGGTTAGATTCTTTTTAGCTAGAGTTTATTTAAGGGTCATAATCTATTATATTAATCTGCAACCTATCATTTTTTTTTCACTATTTGGGTCCAAGTTAGTTTTGGTCTATCTCCAACCCTTAGTTCTACAATTGCTGAGGACATTTGTGTCGGTATCATATAATATATTGAATTTTCAAATCGGGAGTTTTATGTTCAAATTGCCTCTAAGTCTAACAATGGTTTACCTAGGCTGCTGGGCTACCTAAGGCAACATTACTCCTTTATTTGAGCTTTAGACTGACTCTGTAAAAGTTATGGACTAAGCACAAGTTAGGCACAATTCATTATGATGTTGCATTATGCCGTACAATTTAATTATCTATGTAGCATTTATATGAGGTGTGCGTAAATGCATCAAAATTAAAGACAGAAAAGTGCATTGGAATGTCAGAATGAAACTGCAATATTCTTTTGTCCTCACAATATGTTGCCTCAGGCGCTATAAGAATACATATTTAAGAGAAGTCTTTTGGGTTTCCTTGTGTCCTTACTTTTCAGGAATTCTTTTGTTCTTGATTATTGCGTAATGGGAATCTGTTTGTGAATTGTAATTTTTTGTTTTGTTACTTCCATGTTTACTTTTATGTTCTTTATGTTCAAGGTCTTTTCGTCCCTCATGTCAGACCTTTTAATTTAATGATAGTTGCACTTGGGGGTTTTTTACTCCTGCATCCATTCATTTTAATTTCTTTGACTTTAGCATTTATGGTTGGTTTCTGAGAGTCACATTAATTTAGTCTTTATATGCTATGATATTCATTTTTACTAAGAAGAACAAACCTTGGAGATTCAGTAAATGTGACTTATTCTCTGTTGTACTTTTTCACTCGTCAGATTTTGAAGTATCAAGGCACTGAAAGGATTGGCGATGGTGCTGTGGAACAAATACATGTTGATATACAGACACCAAATGGCGCAATCGGAGCAGATATTTTGTTAACAGGCGGTTTAAATGGCTCCTTCTGGTACGTTAACATTCATTCTAAAGTTTTTATGTTTTTTATTCTCTTTTAAATCTGTGTGCTTTTAGACACTTTATTGTAGTTGCATGCACATGACAGCGTTGTTGCATTCTTATAAAATATTCCGCAAGGGATCTAAGATCTGAGAATTGAAAGCATATGTTCATCTTCTGAAGATCTGAAATTATTAAATACGTTGTAAATTGGTGCTATGTTATGGCCGGCCAGATTGAAAAGTAAAAATGAGATGTTTTTGTGCTGTTGGATCAGTGGAGTGGCCAAATGAAATACTTTCCCTTCCAAAATGTTTTGAGTTTTGTTCAAGGTCCTTATGTCATTTAGCCTTTGGAATTTTCATTCTTTTTATTGCCTTTAAGCATGTCTAACGCTTTGGGATGATAAGATTTTGTCTGGTTATGAGTGGTATTTTTTGTCATGTGGCCACTTGGTTCAGCTCTATCCTCATTGCACCATTTCAGAACTATTAGTGTTTAGAGTTGTGAACATTTTGCATTATTCTATTCATCTAACATTGTGTAGTGGATAACTAATCATTTTTTGTTTAATACTGTACGATTAGTCCTTAACAGTGTTTTAAAAAGCTCGCCTAGGTGAGAAGCGAGGCGAGGCGAACTTATCTCTCTTGGAGGACCCTAGGCGAAGCGAACATGAGCGAAGCGAGAAAAAAGCGAGAAAAAGCGAAAAAGCGAACGCTTTATTATAAAAAGCGATTCTGCTTCACTTTTTTTTTTTTTTTTTTTTTTTTTTTTTCTGATTACAGGTTAGTAGTCTCTTTTATTTTTTAATCACTAATAACTTTTTTTTTAGACTATTGCTGGTCTATTTTTTTTTTCTAATAAAAAATGTTTCGAACAAAACACATTCATTTTTTTTCCTTGTGTTGTTGAATTCATTTAGAATATTTGTGGGATATGGGAGTCAGGCGACTGCACTGGATGACAATTATGATAAAAAAAGGAAGCAGGAGTATCAAAAATGGGGGTAAATAATAGATTCTTCTACAAAGAAGTGTCTCTGATATGTATTGGTTATACTTTTTCCTTTTCTTATATATATACAAATGGTACCAAAAAGTGGTCTATGCTTATACCATATTTAATTATTTTAGTACATGTGAAATGTGCCTCTATTCTGCTTTTTTTTATTCAGTATAAAATTACATATGAAATTATTTACAATTGATTCTGCTCCTGTCATGATCATTGTGCTTCTATTTTTTTTTGTTGATTCTGTTGCTGCTTCGGTTTTGCTGTCCTGTGTTGCTTTTGTTTTTTTTATCCTCATTCTGCTTCTTTTTTTTTTGTTGCTAATTCTGCTATTGTCCTGATTCTGCTTCTTTTGTTGTCCTATCCAGTCAATATGAAAATGTATACAATTGTTAGTATTTGTTTGAATTTAAATGTTTAAGTTATGACTGTTATTAAGATTTGAGATATTGTTAGTGTTTTTTTTAATTTAAATGTTTATGGTTTTACTTGCATTTAAATATTTAGTATATATAAAATTAGAACTTAGATTGTTTAGAAGTAATTAAACTAAAATATATATTTTTTTTAACTGTTCGCTTTGCTTCGGTAAAGCGTGTCGCTTCGCTTCTCGCCTAGGCGTTAGGAGCCTTGGTCGCTTCGGTTCGCTTTACACCTTAAATAACACTGGTCCTTAAGCTAATCATTCTTGCCAGTTAAACGGTCCTCACTCTCTCTCCAAGAAAGAATTATGGACATGAGGTTTTTCTCCAACATCAAAAATCTAGAGGCGATTTCTTAAACCATATTTGATAACCCTTAGTATGGCATATGCAATATTTGGATAGAATGTGATAGACAATCACAGACCCTCATTGTGGATACTAGATACCTTATTTATTTTTCCCTTTATGAAGTACGTTTGCATGTATTCTGCTCCTCTTTTTCTATAACTAACTTAGAGTAAAGATGATCTATGCTTCAAATTATTGTTCCACTAGGTTTTCTTTCTTGCCACATTTACAATTTTAGTAAGTGATATTTTTACCAATTTTTTATTATGGGCAAGGGTTTTATACCTCATTCAAACTTCTACATTCCACTACCATGTTCATACCCCATGGCCCTCTTTTGTGTTTCTTTTTTATGAGTACCTCTTTTTGATGCTGTTAGAATTCCCAATTGTCTACTTTCTTATTATATTCCTTTCCTATTATGAATATCAATCTAATATAAATAGGTTATAGGTTATTGACAACATATCCTACACATTATTTTCTCAATTTCTCTCTCTATTCTCCTTTCTTGTAAACAAATATACTTAATTATTCGAATTTCAACTTGGTGTCAGAGCGAGTTCACGACAAAAAATCACAAGAGCAACTATTTGAATTATTGATTAAGAATATAAGATCAATTACAAACAATCTAGTTTGTCTCTTTATTCAGATGGTGCCACTGTTATCTTTTTGGCATATGATTCCATTAAAGGTTTATCTTTACAACGAGATTTGAGTGTTGTCATTTGGAACAATGTTACCTGGATTGTGTGGTTGCTTTGGTACGTGATATGGTTACGGGTACGTAATATGACACTTTCTTAGCTACGCAGTATGATAAAAATAAGATTAACTGGCATGGAGATTCCACCTAGTTTTTCATCTGAGGTAACTGAAGGAAAAATGGTATAAGTTGAAGAAATCACTTTATGAGTTGAAGCAATCACTCGGAGCCTGGTTTGATAGGTTTCTCAAATCCATGTTGAAATTTGGATATAATCAGAATCAAGCTAATCATACTATGTTCATCAGGCAGATAGATGACAAAATAACAATCATTATTGTATAAGTAGATGACAGTGATAGCTGGGAATGATGTGTAGGAAATCACTAAATTGAAAGCTCAATTGGGTAGGGAGTTTGAAATTAAAAAATTGAGTCTATTGAGATATTTTCTTGGGATTGAAGTAGCTAGATCAGACAAAGATATTTTTATCTCCCAGAAAAAATATGTTCTTGACCTACTTGAAGAAACTGATATGTTGGGATGTAGATCTACAGATTCTCCAATTGAAGCCAACCATAAATTGGTGAGTGGTGTTAGTGATGTTGTGGATAAGGAAAGATACGAGAGATTAGCGGGGAGATTGATATACCTTTCTTATACTCGGCCATATATTGGTTATGCAGTGGGGATTATAAGTCAATTCATGCATGATCTTTGAATCCCTCATCTTAAAGTTGTTCATTGTATTCTGAGATATCTCAAGTCAGCTTTTGGAAAAGGGATTTTGTTCTCTAATAATAGTCACTTGAAACTAGAAGCATTCATGCAGACTAGGAAGGTTCAGTAGATGACAGAAGATCCATTTCAGTCTACTGCACCTTGATAGGAGGACATATTGTCATGTGGCGAAGTAAAAAACAAATAGTGGTAGCAAAGTCTAGTGCAGAAGTTGAATATAGAGCAATGATTCATGGAGTTTGTGAGCTTATGTGGCTCCAAACCTTATTAAGCGAGCTGAGAATTCGTTGTAATGGGCCTATGAGACTATAGTGTGATAATAAGGTAGCTATCAACATTGCACACAATCTAGTTCAACATAATAGAACTAAACATGTTCAGATTGATCGACACTTAATCAAACAAAAGCTGAACAAGGGTTTAATTTGCATGCCATTTGTGAAATTAAAAGATCAGTTGATTGATGTTTTTATAAAGGAGCTTAGTAGTAAGCTTTTTCATCCTATTATTTGTAAGCTGGGCATGAGAGACATTATGCACCAACCTAAGGGGAGTGTTATGTTATTTTATATTAGAATGTAACCATTAAGCGTATTTTGGTTCTTTTGTGACTATATATATATTTGGAGGTAGTTGTGTAACCTTAATACACAATACTCTCTTCATAATCTTGTCTCTTTTTCTCTTGCTCTTATTTTCTCTATCCTAGGAGGCAATATTAGCTCCCCCATCTAGTAGAGATCAAATTTAGTGAAAAAGTAATTCCAATGTTAAAAAAAGGTTGTTGACTCAAAAAAGGTGACATCAGTACTAACATAATACTTACGAGAGATAGGGTCATAACAATGATAACATTTATGAGAACGAGAATATCTTAGAAAGACACTTAATCGAACGATGTGAAAATTTATCTCGACCTGAACCAATAAGATGAACAAATTCTGCACAAGGAAATATATGAGGAGTTAGACCAAAAGACGATGTATAAAGACAGAGTAAGGAAAATTGAGATTTGTTATCTAAGATAGGAGACTACATTCGATTAGTAAGATGAATTGTAGTGAGAACAACGTCTGCCTAATAAGGTTTGGGGACATGCATGTTAAACATGAGGATATGAGCAACATCCAATAAATGACAATGCTTACATTTGACAATGCCATTTTGTTGAGAGGCATGAGGACTTGTGGTTTGACGAATAATGCCATGGTCAACACAAAATATTTTTATAAATGATTGAGTATACTCAAGGACATTGTCAGACCAAATAACTTTAATATGAACATCAAACTGAGTCAGAGTAAAAACCTCGGGTAATTAAGAATGGTACTTTATAAGAAATATCCAAATTATATGAGAGAAATCATTAGTAAATATCACGAAATACTGAAATCTAAAAATACATTTAACTCGTACATGATTCCAAATGTTTGTATTAACAACGTGAAACGGTCTAGACTGACGACTTGACGAACTAGGAAGAAAAGAAATACGGTGATGTTTGCCTAATTGACGTGCCTCATATTCTAATACATAAGGACTCAAATTAGGAATCACTTTCTGTAGGTTTTGTAATGAGGGATGACCTAGTCAGAAGTGCTATTGAAGAGGAGACAAGGTAGCACTCAAGGCAGGAATAGAACCACCAAGATCTAAGTAGTAAAGGCCATTTTTCTTATGCCCCCAAATCAGTCACCTTCTTCGTATTGAGGTCCTGAAAAATATAAGAGGATGGAGAGAATGTTATAGAACATTGTAATGACTTAGTGAGTTAGCCCACAAATAACAAGCTAAAAGGAAAATTTGGAACAACAAACTAGAAGTTAATGATGTAGATTGAGTAGGACAAAGATCCCCACTCCCATGGACCGGTCGAAATGAGCTATTAGCTAACACAATATGTGAGTGAGATGAATGAAAATAAGAAAATAGGGAAGATTTACCAAACATATGAGCACTAGCTCTTGAATCAATAATCCAAGGTGACGAAGAAGGTTGAACAACCACACATGCTGAATGACCTTCATTAGCAAGACCAATAGTAGGAGCAAACAAATGTGGGAAAAATGAATATAATTGTCAGATGAGTTAGCGAAGCTGAGAGAATGGATCATAATAAGAATCAGTAGTAAATTTAACTGGTTATCATGAGAAGTCTGATTTGCATATGTTGGCCTCTCGTACTTATCCCAACAATAATTCTCAGTGTGTTTTGTGCCACAACAATAAGTATGCTTCCACTTAGATTGATGACCATG